TTCTGCAATTGCAGAAAAAAAACACATGAACATGATTTGCATGTGTTTATATTTATATATTTTTTTTTCGCTTATGACTCTCTTTATAGACTTCCTTATTGGTAGGAATAAATGTTTTGATGTTTTTTTGTGTGTTTAGAATATGGTTTAGCAGGACACATTTATACTACAAATTTATTTGTATATAATTTTTTTTCTGGTAACTGCCATGTTGTCTTTTATATTACAAGGTCATTTGTGTTGCTTTTATTATATTCCATGTCAATGGCATTTTTTCTGTTATTTTTTTTTTGTGGTATGTGTGTTTTAAAGGATTTTGTTTTTATTTTTAATTTCCGGTTTAAATTTTGTTTCTTTTAGTTTAAAATTTAAAAGTTTTATAATAGTTTTAAAAAATGTTTTAAATTTTTTTTCTTTATAAAACAAAAGTTTTATGGGTGTGGTAGTTGGCAACAAAGTGACAAATTGATAATATATTTTTGTTTATTTTATCATATTGGTTTGGGAAAATAAATAAAGTTATAATTGAAGAAATTTACTTTAGGGGGATTTTAAAGTTAAAACTTTTGCTTTATATTAAAAAGAATACTTTGTGGTGCCTTAGTTTACCCAAAAATAAACAGTTTTAAATATAATTTTATTATAACTACTAATAATGCAATTATAATTTATTATAATTAATTATAATCCAATTATTATGTTTTATAATCGATAGTAAACCCATTATTATGTATTAATTGGTTATAATCGAATTATTGAGTAATAAAGATTATTATAATTCCTTTATAATGAATTATAAATAGTTAGAATAAAATTATTACCCATTATTAACTATTATAATCTCGTTGTAATGTGTTATAATTGTTTATAACGTGTGATAATAGATTATATAATGTTTAAAGCTTATTATAATCCAATTATAATGTGTTAATGTGTTATAATGTATCGTAATTAATTATAATCTAATTATAATGTTTTATAATATATTATAATCAAATGATTAAATGTTATAATTGATAATAATCTAATTATGTTGCAATATAATTATTAAAAATCAAATTATAACGTGTTATAATAGATTATAATCCCATTATAATGTTTTAAAGCTTATTATAATCATATTATAATGAATTTTAATGTGTTATAATGTATCGTAATTAATTATAATCTAATTATAATGCTTTATAATATATTATAATCAAATGATAAAATGTCATAGTTGATAATAATCCAATTATTTTGCATTGTAACTGATTATAATCCCATTATAATGTCTTGTAATTAATTATAATTCAATTATAATATTTTATAGTAAATTATAATTCAGTTATAATGCGTCATAATTTATTAAAATTCAATTATAATTAGTTATAACTGATTATAATCAAATAAATGAAATAAAAATTGCATTATAATCCAATTATGTTGTGTTATAATTGATTATAATACCATTATAATGTATTATAATTAAGTTATAATGCGTCATAACTTATTATAATCGAATTATAATTTGCTTTAACTGATTATAATCAAATTATAATGTTTTATAGTATATTATAATCAAATAAATGTTTTATTTTATTTATTGCATTATAATCCAATTATTTTGTGTTATAATTGATTATAATCATATTATAATGTGTTATAGTTAATTATAATTCAATTATAATACTTTGATTATAATTAAGTTATAATGTGTTATAACTCATTATAATACAATTATAATTTGTCATAACCAATTGCACAATTATAATGTTTTATAATATCTTATAATCATATGCTAACATGTAGAAGTTGATAATAATCCAATTATTTTGTACTATAATAGATTATAATCGAATTATAATTCATTATATCGAATTATTTTGTATTGTAAATGATTATAATCCCATTATAATGCATAACAATAAATTATAATCCAATTATTTTGCGTTTTTGGTAAATGAACTACAGTTCATCTTCTTCATTAAAACCCCTTTTTCTTATTTTTTATTTTTTAAAATTTTTGTTTAACAACCTTTTTCTCTCCAATAACTACCAAAATGTTTAAACATTTTATATCTACTAGATTATGGGAACTCTTTTGCCCTACAACAGGGAGTGTATATCATTTTTTTGGCATTTTTAAAAGTTTGCTTTTAAAGTTTTTAAATGTACTAGTTCCTTTCCATGTATAGATCTATGCTGGTTAGCAAAACTTTTATCTATAGTCTCTACCCTACTCCCCCTTCGAATGTAATGTTCTTTTGTACATAACGTTGATTTGTGTATCCTTTCTGCCATTTCATGTTTACTTTTTTGCATTTCTCTATGTTTCTGTTAGTGTCCTGTTTTGCGTTGCAACTTTGTTGGTGTCTGGAGAAATAAAGGGGTTTGCCGTTTTGCTCATTCCTCAAAAATGTGATTGCTTTGTTCAACTTTTCGTTTGTGTCTGTTGTTGTTGTTGGTTGCATTTTGCCTGTTGTTTTATTCCTTTTGGTTGGTTAGGTGACCAGGTGCTGTGGGGCGTGAAAATGGTTATAAATATGTTGTTGAAATATAATCCTATTATAATGTATCATAACTGATTATAATGCAATAATAATGTATTATAATTAATTATAATCCAATATTATCTAATTATAATTTATTTTAGTTTATTATATTCCAGTTAAAACCCATTATTGTCATTTATAATTCTATTGTAATGTGTTATAATTAAGTATAATCCAATTATAATGCTTCATGGATTGTTATAATGCGATTATAATGTATTATAACTAATTATAATTCATTTATAATGGATTGTTATTATTTATAATCTTATTATAATGGATTATAATTCACAATAATTCTGTTATAATGTTAATTATTATAATTATAATCATGTTATAATACTTTAATTACATTATAATGCATTATAATGAATTGTAATCTTATTATAATTCATTATATTATAAAACAAATTAAAATCATGTATTTATGCTTTATGTATAATTATAATCTAATTATAATGTATTATAATTAATTATAACTCCATTGTTATGTGTTATAATAAGTTATAATCCTATTATAATGAACTTAAACAAATTATATTTATTATAATTTAATATAATTTCATTATAATGCATTATAACTATTTATAATTGCATTATAATGCATGAAAGATAATTATAACTGTTCTTAACTTATTATAATTCTATTATAATCAATTATAATTCTGTTATAATGCATTAACGCGAATTTAAATCCTACTAAAGTGCAGTACGCTTAATTATATACCAATTATAATGTATTATAATATATTATAATCTAATTATAATGTGTTAAAATTAAATATAAACGTATTATAACGGATTATTACTGGTTATAATGATGTATAAATAATTATAATACAATTAAAGTTTATTATATCTAATTACAATTCAGTTATAATACTATTATAGTCCATAATAATTAATTATAATTCGATTATAACATGTTTAAAATTTTTATAAACTTATTATAATACATTATAACTAATTATAATCGAATTATAATGCTTTATAAATATGTAATTATAATCCTATAAAAATATATTATAACTAATTATTGTGTTATAATAAATTATAATCCTTTTATAACAGATTATAATTAATTATAATGCTATTATAATGGATTATAATTGATTATAATGCCATTATAATAAATTATAATGCTTTTTAAACAATAATAATCTATAATAAGGGATTATAACTAATTATAATCGAATTATAATGCTTTATAAATAATTATAATCCACAAAGAATATATTATAACTAATTATTATTTAGTTATAATGTGTTATAATAAATTATAATCCTTTTATAACAGATTATAATTAATTATAATGCTATTATAATGGTTTATAATTGATTATAATGCCATTATAATAAATTATAATGCTTTTTAAACAATAACAATCTTAAATAAGGGATTATAATGGATTATAATCCCATTATAATAAATTATAATCATATTATAATGATTTATAAATAATAATAATAATAATCCTATACAAATATTTATATTTCAAATTACAGTTATACGATTATAACTACTTATACATACATTTGTATACCTTTTAAATGTATGTATTAACATAAATTCCATGTCTCTCTTTTTACATTTCCTTGTACTGGTAACTCTTTTTGTTTAATAAAGATTCCTCAATTAAACATTTATAATTACTAGTACCTTGCTGCCTACACATTCAAACTAAAATTCCCCCATATAAAGGAACTTATCCTCGGTAAGAGTATTATGTTGCCTCCTTTGCCAAAAAAAAAAAACAACATTATATGTACTGCCAGCCAGCCCAAGCTAGTTACCATTTATGTTTACCACGTTTCTCATTTATCGTTGTATGCTGTCCTATCATCCTTTCTGTTATACCTCTTCTCTATACTGCTGCTGCAAATGTTGGCTGCTCTGCGAGTCTTCCATTTTTTGCAAACCATGCAGCTCTTAATGTGTCTGTAACTGTGTCTGTGTATTCTTCACCATGTCCTGTTGCCATTTTATGAAATTATTTTATACAGCTCTTGCCTTTTTAACGCTAGACTCAAATTGCCAGTTATAAAGTGCTGTAGGTGTTGTAAAGACCTCATTAAAACAAAATATAAAGAACCGGGATTTTGATTTTGTAGTATTAAAGAAATTAAAGAAAAGTTTAAATATATTTAAAGAAAAAGTTTAAATTTATAACAATAACAATATTTGTTTGCTTTTCTAAGTGAGTTTTTTTTTTTTTTCAAGAAAAGTTTTGAAATGTTGAAATATTTGAGAGTTTTCTTTAAAAACTATGATTTGTATGGTTATTTTTATGTTAATTCCTAGACTATTTCTAGAATATTGATTTTATATGTTGAACAAATGTATACAGGATGTTAAAATAAAGAAAATATGGAAAAATTTGAAATTTTAGTGAAATTTTAAAATTTTGTGAAAATCCAGCTAAATTTTTCTTTAAAATTAAAATTTAAATCTCTTTTCTTTTACAGACTTCCACAAAACGTTCAAACGTTGATTTTGACGTGGATGACGATTTTGATGAAGATTCCGGTTCAGATTTTGATGAAGATGAAGATCCAGATAAAATAGAAGTACCAGGTAAGTTAGAAATAACTTTAGTTAACCCCCAAATATTAACTCCAGAGAAACAAACTTTGAAAAGAAATAAAATTTAAACTCCAAACTCAATTAAAATTTATTAAATAAACAAAACATTCTTTAACTTCAGGAACTCATAGCACCCCCTTCCCATTGAACTTTGTTGCTCCCTCTCCCAAACATTTTCAACAACAATAGTTGAAAAGGAACAACTATTTTTGTTCACTCCTTTTATAGTCCTTTGGCTGTCTCTTTAACTCTAAAAATAAATACTTTTATACTATAAAATTGTTTTCCTACTTTAGTTTATTTAAAACTTATTTTCAGATAACACAATTCTTGTGTTGTGTATAGCCTCCCTCCCCCACCACCTCAGAGGAACGCATAAAAAGTTATTTTCCTATTTTGCTTGACGCAAATGAAACAAAAAAACCCCTTTCTTTCATTCATTCATTTGTTAAAAAAGGAAACAAAAATGTTTTAAATTTTAATTTATAAAATTTTATTAGAAAGTTTGGTTAAGGAAGCTTGCCTCAGTGGGAAAAGAGAAGTGTTGCTGATGTGGTTTCTAAAGTATGAAGTTTGTCGTGCAATTAGTAACAGTAAAAATTTTATTATTTTTAGTAGGTTGGATTCCTAATCCTTCCAACTAAACTGGAATAGAACTATAAGAGAACTCGAACAGAACTAGAACAGAACTAGAACAGAACTAGAACAAAACTAGAACAGAACTAGAACAGAACTAGAACAGAACTAGAACAGAACTAGAACAGAACTAGAACAGAACTAGAACAGAACTAGAACAGAACTAGAACAGAACTAGAACAGAACTAGAACAGAACTAGAACAGAACTAGAACAGAACTAGAACAGAACTAGAACAGAACTAGAACAGAACTAGAACAGAACTAGAACAGAACTAGAACAGAACTAGAACAGAACTAGAACAGAACTAGAACAGAACTAGAACAGAACTAGAACAGAACTAGAACAGAACTAGAACAGAACTAGAACAGAACTAGAACAGAACTAGAACTGAACTAGAACAGAACTAGAATAGAACTAGAACAGAACTACAACAGAACTACAACAGAACTAGAACAGAACTAGAACAGAACAAGAACAGAACTAGAACTGAACTAGAACAGAACTAGAACAGAACTAGAACAGAACTAGAACAGAACTAGAACAGAACTAGAACAGAACTAGAACAGAACTAGAACAGAACTAGAACAGAACTAGAACAGAACTAGAACAGAACTAGAACTGAACTAGAACAGAACTAGAATAGAACTAGAACAGAACTACAACAGAACTACAACAGAACTAGAACAGAACTAGAACAGAACAAGAACAGAACTAGAACTGAACTAGAACAGAACTAGAACTGAACTAGAACAGAACTAGAACAGAACTAGAACAGAACTAGAACAGAACTAGAACAGAACTAGAACAGAACTAGAACAGAACTAGAACAGAACTAGAACAGAACTAGAACAGAACTAGAACAGAACTAGAACAGAACTAGAACAGAACTAGAACAGAACTAGAACAGAACTAGAACAGAACTAGAACAGAACTAGAACAGAACTAGAACAGAACTAGAACAGAACTAGAACAGAACTAGAACAGAACTAGAACAGAACTAGAACAGAACTAGAACAGAACTAGAACAGAACTAGAACAGAACTAGAACTGAACTAGAACAGAACTAGAACAGAACTAGAATAGAACTAGAACAGAACTAGAACAGAACTAGAACAGAACTACAATAGAACTAGAACAGAACTACAACAGAACTACAACAGAACTACAACAGAACTACAACAGAACTAGAACAGAACTAGAACAGAACTAGAACAGAACTAGAACAGAACTAGAACAGAACAAGAACAGAACTAAAACAGAACTAGAACAGAACTAGAACAGAAGTAGAACAGAACTAGAACAGAACTAGAACAGAACTAGAACAGAACTAGAACAGAACTAGAACAGAACTAGAACAGAACTAGAACAGAACTAGAACAGAACTAGAACAGAACTAGAACAGAACTAGAAAAGAACTAGAACAGAACTAGAACAGAACTAGAACAGAACTAGAACAGAACTAAAACAGAACTAGAACTGAACTAGAACAGAACTAGAACTGAACTAGAACTGAACTAGAACTGAACTAGAACTGAAATAGAACTGAAATAGAACTGAACTAGAACTGAACTAGAACTAAACTAGAACTGAACTAGAACTGAACTAGAACTGAACTAGAACTGAACTAGAACTAAACTAGAACTGCACTAGAACTGATCTAGAACTGAACTAGAACAGAACATTGCTGGACATTAGATACTTTAGGAACTATAGATTTTAAAACATCAATTTATTAGTGCGTACTATCTCCCTATAGCTATTCAATAAAAGTTTTCTCCAAACCAAAACATCATTCAATATTTAAGGTTTTTTAAAACTCATACTTTTGTTCCAAAAATTTAAGTAAGCACATATTTTCCCCAAAAAACTTTGCCTTTTCGTAGCCAAAACCATTTAACAAATACCACTGCATCTACTGCATGTTTAAAATTAAAAGGGAAGTGGTGTAAAATTTTGGTAGTTTGCTTAAACCTTGAGTTTCCCAGAAAAGGGGTACATGATTGTAAATGCACATACAGCTCGAACATTTATGGAGGAAATATGGCTAAAAGTTATGTAAAATTTCATGTACAATATATTGCAGTATCTAGCAGAGTTATATACTTCGTAAGTTTAATGCATTTAAAAGGCATATAAAACTACAGTGGAACCTACTTATAAAAAATCTTTTTTAAATTCATAATTGGATTATTAAATTTAACTAAATATTTCTCAAAATATACATAAATAAAGAAAGTCGGGTTTGGCAATCATCAGAAATCTGTTCATCAAGTTTATATTACAGAAGTTTTACTGTTGATATATATAAATCTGATTTCTTACTTTACTGTCAGTCCAATATAAATTTTGCTCATGTTTTTGTTTCACAATTTATTTCCAATAGATTCATAATTATGCAAATGTAATTATTTAGCTACATATACTTTCAAGAATAAAACATTTTGTAACATTTGTTTACTCTAAACTTATACTCTGTACCCCCGCACCCCCCCACCGACACCATTACTTCCCAATTATGTACGAATTTAGATGGTCATGACAACGACTATATTCAGTCCGTTTAATGCCAATAAATACAATAACGAAATGGAACAACGTTAGCGTTATTAATGAATTAAGGGTTATTTGAGCGTCTGTTAAGGCGAAAACAGGACACTTTATATTATTGCAATATATTGGATAGAAAGGGAAAGAGTGTGATTATGAAGAAGTAGAAAGTGGGGGGGGGGGAGTGTATGTTCGTTGTGAGTCAGAGTAGATAAGTATGAGTGAGTTAATTAGGATTGGGGTGTGATTTATAATTTAGAGACTAATAAATAATTATAAAATAAAGTTTATTTAGTTAAAGCAGCTCTTTAAATTTGGACTGAAGGTGTTAAAGAATTTATTAAGATTGAAAGTACGGAACTATAAACGTAAACTAGAATAGAACTAGAACAGAACTAGAACAGAACTAGAACAGAACTAGAACAGAACTAGAACAGAACTAGAACAGAACTAGAACAGAACTAGAACAGAACTAGAACAGAACTAGAACAGAACTAGAACTGAACTAGAACAGAACTAGAACAGAACTAGAACAGAACTAGAACAGAACTAGAACAGAACTAGAACAGAACTAGAACTGAACTAGAACTGAACTAGAACTGAACTAGAACTGAACTAGAACTGAACTAGAACTGAACTAGAACAGAACTAGAACAGAACTAGAACAGAACTAGAACAGAACTAGAACAGAACTAGAACTAGAACTAGAACTAGAACTGAACTAGAACTGAACTAGAACTGAACTAGAACTGAACTAGAACAGAACTAGAACAGAACTAGAACAGAACTAAAACAGAACTAGAACAGAACTAGAACAGAACTAGAACAGAACTAGAACAGAACTAGAACAGAACTAGAACTGAACTAGAACTGAACTGGAACTGAACTAGAATTGAACTAGAACTGAAGTAGAAATGGAACTAAACTAAGGTATAGACTTCAAATTTTACTACTTCTACATCTACACTAATTAGTTAAAAGGGGCATATCCTTAATTATAAAATCACTATCTCAGCCTTCTCTAAAATGGTCAAGTTTCGTAACAAATCGTATTATATAATCTATGATTGTATACATATACAATCACAATAACATAAAATTAATTATATTTATGTACTTTTTGCTCATTATAATTGCAAGTAGCAATTGCATATACTTCTCATACATAACGATATCGTGCATATAATTAAAGGTAAACTGCTATATATAACATATCTATGTGTGCGTCTTGCAATCTTATTAATATATAATGTTCAAATATGCCAGAATGGTTGAATATGTGCAGCAGCCATTTATTTGTTATATGTTGATTTTCTATTACCATTTTAATAATGCGTTGTTTTCTGTTTAAAATTATACAAACTCAGTCATATGTGAGAGTATGCTGTGTGAAAACCAATATTTGTCTCATATCAGTTATAAAGTTTGACTAGAGCTTCATAACGTCAACCTACACCCAATCAATGTTCTAGACATAACTCATGCCTCTATTAGTTAACTCCTTTTGCTCGTTTTCAAAATTTTGTTGATGGTTTTCTTGTGTATTTATTCCCCCTCATTGTGTATTTTATAACTCATTATCCTTAGTGTCGTTCGATTTATACACCTGTCCAAGCTTTAAAATATGATTAACATAATAATTGTGTAACTAAGCATATGTTGAAGAATTAGTTTACGAGTAGAGGGATAGGAGAAGGAGAATAATAAATAACAATTTCCTTAATGTAAAGAAATTGCTAAAGACATGAGGAAATAAACGAGTTCTTTAAGATGTTTCAATTCGATTATCGTAATACTTAATATCAG